GCAAGAAAACCTGGGTCCAAGAGCTAGGGCTCGATCCTGCAGGCACAAATAGGTGAGTACACTCACACACACACACACACACACACACACACACACACACACACACACACACACACACACACACACACACACCACACACACACACACACAGAAGGCTGGGCAGACTGCATATTTCTTGACTGCCAAAAGGCCTTTGATACGGTACCGCACATGAGACTGCTATACAAACTTGAGAGGCAGGCAGGAGTAAGCGGAAAGGCCCTAGTATGGGTGGAAGAAACTACCTAACAGGAAGGAGCCAGAGGGTAATGGTAAGGGGCGAAAAGTCGGACTGGCGAACAGTAACAAGTGGAGTACCTCAAGGATCGGTGCTGGGACCAATCCTCTTTCTTAATTTACGTAAATGATATGATACAGGAGTGGAATCATATATGTCAATGTTTGCAGATGACGCAAAATTAATGAGAAGAGTTGTGACAGGACGAGGATTGTAGGATCCTCCAAGAGGACTTAAACAGGCTGCAGAGATGGTCAGGGAAATGGCTACTGGAGTTTAACACCAGTAAATGTAAAGTTATGGAAATGGGATCAGGTGACAGAAGACCAAAGGGACAGTACACAATGAAGGGAACAGCCTACCTGTAACGATTCGAGAAAGAGACCTGGGAGTGGATGTGACACCTAATCTAACTCCTGAGGCACATATAAATAGGATAACGACAGCAGCGTACTCTACACTGGCGAAAATTAGAACTTCATTCAGAAACCTAAATGAGGAAGCTTTTAGGGCGCTTTACACTGCCTACGTGAGACCCGTCTTAGAGTATGCCGCGCCATCATGGAGCCCCCACCTGAAGAAACACATAAGGAAACTGGAGAAGGTTCAGAGGTTTGCGACGAGGCTTGTCCCAGAGTTACGAGGGATGGGATATGAAGAGCGGCTGAAGGAACTGAACCTTACGACACTAGAGAAAAGAAGGGAGAGAGGAGATATGATAGGGACATATAAAATACTCAGGGGAATTGACAAAGTGGAAATAGATGAAATGTTCACACGTAATAATAACAGAACGAGGGGACATGGGTGGAAACTGGAAACTCAGATGAGTCACAGAGATGTTAGGAAGTTTTCTTTTAGCGTGAGAGTAGTAGAAAAATGGAATGCACTTGGGGAACAGGTTGTGGAAGCAAATACTATTCATACTTTTAAAACTAGGTATGATAGGGAAATGGGACAGGAGTCATTGCTGTAAACAACCGATAGCTGGAAAGGCGGGATCCAAGAGTCAATGCTCGATCCTGCAAGCACATATAGGTGAGTACATATAGGTGAGTACACACACACACACACACACACACACACCACACACACACACACACACACACACACACACACACACACACACACACACACACACACACACACACACACACACACACACACACACACACATATAGGAAATAGGGTGGAAATAGGAGGCCAGACACAGGATACAGAATAGGAGATGAAGTACTTAATGAAACGGACAGAGAGAAAGATCTAGGAGTTGATATCACACCAAACCTGTCTCCTGAAGCCCACATAAAACGAATAACGTCTGCGGCATATGCGAGGCTGGCTAACATCAGAACAGCGTTCAGGAACCTGTGTAAGGAATCATTCAGAATCTTGTACACCACATATGTAAGACCAATCCTGGAGTATGCGGCCCCAGCATGGAGCCCGTACCTTGTCAAGCACAAGACGAAGCTGGAAAAAGTCCAAAGGTATGCCACTAGACTAGTCCCAGAACTAAGAGGCATGAGTTACGAGGAAAGGCTGCGGGAAATGCACCTTACGACACTGGAAGACAGAAGAGTAAGGGGAGACATGATCACAACCTACAAAATCCTCAGAGGAATCGACCGGGTAAACAAGGATAAACTATTCAACACTGGTGGGACGCGAACAAGGGGACACAGGTGGAAACTGAGTACCCACATGAGCCACAGAGACGTTAGAAGGAACTTTTTCAGTGTCAGAGTAGTTAACGGATGGAATGCATTAGGCAGTGATGTGGTGGAGGCTGACTCCATACACAGTTTTAAATGTAGATATGATAGAGCCCAGTAGGCTCAGGAATCTGTACACCAGTTGATTGACAGTTGAGAGGCGGGACCAAAGAGCCAAAGCTCAACCCCCGCAAGCACAAATAGGTGAGTACAAATAGGTGAGTACACACACACACACACATAGTGTGAGGAGAGACTACGGGAATTAAACCTCACTTCGCTGGAAGACAGAAGAGTTAGGGGGGACATGATCACCACATTCAAGATTCTGAAGGGAATTGATAGGGTAGATAAAGACAGTCTATTTAACACAAGGGGAACACGCACAAGGGAACACAGGTGGAAACTGAGTGCCCAAATGAGCTACAGAGATATTAGAAAGAACTTTTTTAGTGTCAGAGTGGTTGACAAATTGAATGCATTAGCGGGTGATGTGGTGGAGGCTGACTCCATACACAGTTTCAAGTGTAGATATGACAGAGCCCGATAGGCTCAGGAATCTGTACACCTGTTGATTGACGGTTGAGAGGCGGGACCAAAGAGCCAGAGCTCAACCCACGCAAACACAACTAGGTGAGTGCAACTAGGTGAGTACAGTGTTGAGTGAGAGAAGAGTGCGTGAGGACCACGGAGTTGCAACTAAATCTGAGCTATGGTGAGGTCCAGGGCAGACTGTGAAGGGTTGCAAGGGGTTGCATAAACGGCAAGCAAAGGGGAGCAGACCAGGACCCCAAAATAATGGGACGGAAGCATGCATTAACCCAAGGGACCACCGGAGAGCCATACGAGTTAAGGGCACCAAAGGGGGTTCCCTCAAGATACCCTTTGTTATGTCCCATTCTATGGGGGCTAATAAATGGGTTCCCAAGCGGTGAAACAGCAACCATTTACATGATACACAGGATTTATAATACCCCCCCATTCCCCCCTTAAGGAATCCTACCCCATTAACTATATATAAAGGATACGAGGCGGCGGGCAGCTCCCTGGGTGGTGAATCCGACGCCCTCGCTGGAAACATTCCGGACATCCTTATGACAAGACTATTGAAGGTTGTCATGGAGGGTGTAGTGGCGGTGGGCGCGCAGGGCGGTTCTTGGCGCCAAGTGGGTGGTGTTGACACGGGCGGCGTGGGCGGGGCTTGGCGTGACACGGGCGCCCAGGACACGGTGGCGAGGTGGTAGCTAGAGACTGACCAAGAGACGCCGCCTGGTGACGGGGTTCCATGGCCTGTGGGGACGGGAGCGGGGCGTAGACAGGCTCATCCTCCGTCCGCTCACCTCGCCTGATTACGGCAATTTTTGGCCTACATCACACGCATAGTAGTTTGTTCTTGAGCCCCTGAAAGTCACTTAAAATGATTAAGACTGAACGTAGGTTACTTTAACAGCCCCATTTTGTGCACACGCACACACACACTCACACACACACACACACACACACACACACACACACACACACACACACACACACACACACACACACACACACACACACACACACACACACACACACACACACACACACACACACACACACACACACACACACACACACACACACACACACACACACACACACACACACACACACACACACACACACACACCTACATCTGAGGTTTCCGCACTTATTCTCCAAGCTGAGGAAAGTTGTCTCTCACTTAGCTCTGCCAGCTGGCCCTCCCAGGAGGTATTCATACATTCAAATTCTTCCTTCAATGTTTTCTTTATTGCTGCTTTCTGTTTTAGTGCTGTTTTGGTGCTGTGGTCTTCTTCTTTGCTTAATTCTCTGCCTTCCAGTTTTCGGTGGTACGTTCCCATTTGTCTATTTTTCTCTCATCTCTCTCTATTTTTTTTCTCTCTCTCTCTCCTCTCTCTCTCTCTCTCTCCTCTCTCTCTCTCTCTCTCTCTCTCTCTCATCTCTCTCTCTCTCTCTCTCTACGCTCTCTCTCCTCTCTCTCTCTCTCTCTCTCTCTCTCTCTCTCTCTCTCTCTCTCTCTCTCTCTCTCTCTCTATATATATATGTGTGTGTGTGTGTGTACTCATCTATTGGTGCTTGCGGGGGTTGAGCTTTGGCTCTTTGGTCCCGCCTTAGTGTGTGTGTGTTCACCTAGTTGTGTTTTTGCGGGGGTTGAGCTTTGCTCTTTCGGCCCGCCTCTCAACTGTCAATCAACTGTTTACTAACTACACTAACTACTTTTTTTTTTTTTTCTTTTTTCCTATTTTTTCACACCACACACACACACACACCCCAGGAAGCAGCCCGTGACAGCTGACTAACTCCCAGGTACTATTTACTGCTAGGTAACAGGGGCATTCAGGGTGAAAGAAACTTTGCCCATTTGTTTCTGCCTCGTGCGGGAATTGAACCCGCGCCACAGAATTACGAGTCCTGCGCTCTATCCACCAGGCTACGAGGCCCCTAGATGACATTGAAGGAAGAATTTGAATGTATGAATACCTCCTGGTAGGGCCAGCTGGCAGAGCTAAGTGAGAGAAGTGAGAGAAGTGAGAGACAACTTTTCTCAGCTTGGAGAATAAGTGCGGAAAGCTCAGATGTAGGAGGGAAGAGCGTAAGATAAACAACACAAGGAGACATTAAAGAAACCATAGAAAGATTCACTTGAGGAATTGAACCCTGCAGATGGGGACACATGGAGCCCAAGTAGTCACGAAAAATAAGAGAGTTGAGAACAAATTGTTGAAGTTGTGCGTAAATAACAACCTCTCAAAACCTGACGGAGCAGAGAAGGAGGGCAATCCGGAAACAGTCTGACTAGTCAATTCTCACCCCCTTGATTAGCTAGTTTCTCCTCTTGACTAGTCAGTCTCACCCCTTGATTAGCTAGTTTCTCCTCTTGACTAGTCAGTCTCACCCCTTCATTAGCTAGTTTCTCCTCTTGACTAGTCAGTCTCACCCCTTGATTAGCTAGTTTCTCCTCTTGACTAGTCAGTCTCACCCCCTTGATTAGCTAGTTTCTCCTCTTGACTAGTCAGTCTCACCCCTTGATTAGCTAGTTTCTCCTCTTGACTAGTCAGTCTCACCCCTTGATTAGCTAGTTTCTCCTCTTGACTAGTCAGTCTCACCCCTTGATTAGCTAGTTTCTCCTCTTGACTAGTCAGTCTCACCCCTTGATTAGCTAGTTTCTCCTCTTGACTAGTCAGTCTCACCCCTTGATTAGCTAGTTTCTCCTCTTGACTAGTCAGTCTCACCCCTTGATTAGCTAGTTTCTCCTCTTGACTAGTCAGTCTCACCCCTTGATTAGCTAGTTTCTCCTCTTGACTAGTCAGTCTCACCCCTTGATTAGCTAGTTTCTCCTCTTGACTAGTCAGTCTCACCCCTTGATTAGCTAGTTTCTCCTCTTGACTAGTCAGTCTCACCCCCTTGATTAGCTAGTTTCTCCTCTTGACTAGTCAGTCTCACCCCTTGATTAGCTAGTTTCTCCTCTTGACTAGTCAGTCTCACCCCCTTGATAGCTAGTTTCTCCTCTTGACTAGTCAGTCTCACCCCTTGATTAGCTAGTTTCTCCTCTTGACTAGTCAGTCTCACCCCTTGATTAGCTAGTTTCTCCTCTTGACTAGTCAGTCTCACCCCTTGATTAGCTAGTTTCTCCTCTTGACTAGTCAGTCTCACCCCTTGATTAGCTAGTTTCTCCTCTTGACTAGTCAGTCTCACCCCCTTGATTAGCTAGTTTCTCCTCTTGACTAGTCAGTCTCACCCCTTGATTAGCTAGTTTCTCCTCTTGACTAGTCAGTCTCACCCCTTGATTAGCTAGTTTCTCCTCTTGACTAGTCAGTCTCACCCCCTTGATTAGCTAGTTCTCCTCTTGACTAGTCAGTCTCACCCTTGATTAGCTAGTTTCTCCTCTTGACTAGTCAATTCTCACCCCCTTGATTAGCTAGCTTCTCCTCTTGACTAGTCAATTCTCACCCTTGATTAGCTAGTTTCTCCTCTTGACTAGTCAGTCTCACCCCCTTGACTAGTCAAGACCTTCCAGAGACCAGAGAGGAGAGGAAGCCTGACCACTTGTGTAAACAATCATAATGAGACAACACCTGTCTGGACCAGTATGCCTACACGAGGCTGAGAGGGAGACAGTAAAAGTCTACAGACTGGGTTCATACGCACAAGAACACCGAAAAATGAGACCACTAAAGATGGTATTTGTGAACGAGGTGCACAAAGGGTCCTGATGGGATGCAGAGGTAACCTGAGAGAGGCACAGAAGGCTACAGAAAGGTAGACCTTGAAAACGTCACGAGTAAAGATGAAATAATGAGAACCTGGAACACCACAAGGCAAGAAGAAGATGAGAGGGAAGGAGAGAGAGAGAGAGAGTGGAAGTGCGGAGGAAGAGAGAAGAGGCCAATAGGGACAAACCCACACACCTCTTCCTGGCAACCTCAGGAGGCATGAGTCCAAAGTCTTGGCCTGAGGAGGGAAGCAAGAGGCTGATGGAACACAGGAACAGCCAGGAAGGCCGGCAGTGATTGTCAGCAACCAGTGTTGACACCGAGTGTTTAACCCAGACGCCACACCTATCATCCTCACCCCAGACGCCACACCTATCATCCTTACCCCAGACGCCACACCTATCATCCTCACCCCAGACGCCACACCGATCATCCTCACCCCAGACGCCACACCTATCATCCTCACCCCAGACACCACACCTATCATCCTCACCACAGACGCCACACCTATCATCCTCACCCCAGACGCCACACCTATCATCCTCACCCCAGACGCCACACCGATCATCCTCACCCCAGACGCCACACCGATCATCCTCACTCCAGACGCCACACCAATCATCCTCACCCCAGACGCCACACCTATCATCCTCACCCCAGACGCCACACCTATCATCCTCACCCCAGACACCACACCTATCATCCTCACCCCAGACGCCACACCTATCATCCTCACCCCAGACACCACACCTATCATCCTCACCCAGACGCCACACGTATCATCCTCACCCCAGACACCACACCTATCATCCTCACCCCAGACGCCACACCTATCATCCTCACCCCAGACGCCACACCTATCATCCTCACCCCAGACGCCACACCTATCATCCTCACCCCAGACACCACACCTATCATCCTCACCCCAGACACCACACCAATCATCCTCACCCCAGACACCACACCTATCATCCTCACCCAGACGCCACACCTATCATCCTCACCCCAGACGCCACACCTATCATCCTCACCCCAGACGCCACACCTATCATCCTCACCCCAGACGCCACACCTATCATCCTCACCCCAGACAAATCTACCCTAACCTCCAAACACCCATCTACCCTTCCACCCATCACGTTTTTCCCCACTCATAACGTTCCTATCTCTCCCCCCCATTAATTCCTGTTCCACAGCATATATCCAAAGCCAATTCCCAACAAACAAGCCCCCCTCCCCTCCCCATTACCAGTTACCCCACTAACCACCCCTTCCTCCCTACCCTCCACTCCCAGGCTCTCTCCTCCAACCATTGCTCCTACACCTGAACCACCCCAACACCCCATTCCCAGCCTGGGAGCTGCCCCATATAGAAATGAAGAGCCTAAAAATCTAATACACCAATGCTGATGGACTGTCCAACAAGATGAATGAACTAAAAGAACGCATGAAACAATCCGTGATGTAATAGTAATATCAGAAACTAATATAACTGAACTCGTCACTAATACAATATTCCGCAGACAATTCCAGAGAACACGAAGAGGAATAAAGCAAGGGAGAAGAGGGATATGATCTTATCTTGAGGTTATCTTGAGATGATTTCGGGGATTTTTAGTGTCCCCGCGGCCCGGTCCTCGACCAGGCCTCCACCCCCAGGAAGCAGCCCGTGACAGCTGACTAACACCCAGGTACCTATTTTACTGCTAGGTAACAGGGGCGTAGGGTGAAAGAAACTCTGCCCATTGTTTCTCGCCAGCGCCTGGGATCGAACCCAGGACCACAGGATCACAAGTCCAGCGTGCTGTCCGCTCGGCCGACCGGCTCCCCTGATAGCACGGGATAAAAATAGATATCATGTATTGAAGAGATATGTATTAAAGAGATATGTAATGTATTAAAGAGATACATTTTGAGGAAGATGGCAATAATGTAGACTATGTTGCAGGAATCATTGCAGTGGGAAAAGATAATGATAGATAATCATTAGATAATCATACGAGAAAGAGAGAAAGAGACGAGAATGCAGACAGAGCTTGCATAAATATCATAGAAAAGTGAGCCTGAATTACCCCTAAGACTGAGAACAAAGCAAAAAAGTAATAGGATATTTTAATCATTTGTAAACTGATGAAAAGTCCTACGAATTTTCTCATTGATGCCGTTACGTTAATGTGATTACTTTCTGTGAAGTAATAATAACACTAATATTATTATTGTCAGATAATATCCCCAGTCAGATAATATCTGACTGGGGATATCTGATATATCCCCAGTCAGATATGGTACTTATCTAACAAGGTGGTTTGTGAGGGGGAAATACCGGTCAGTCTTATCGGTATCGGTTATATCAAGGTGAGGATGGTTTAGTGTATATGTTAAGGTGTGGCAGGCATTGTGAAAGGGAGGGGGGGAAGACAGGTGTTTGGGGCCTAGATCCCACCACAGGTGTTGTGTGTGAGGGGGGGGGGGTGACACCTGTGTTAACACCTGTCGTCTGGGTTCCTCTGATCCCACAGTGACTCGTGCATGTGTTATTTGACAGCCCCCCCATGGTGATGTTCCCTTGTGTCTCACTTTCTCTTTCTCTGTGTGTGTGTGTGTGTGTGTGTGTGTGTGTGTGTGTGTGTGTGTGTGTGTGTGTGTGTGTGTGTGTGTGTGTGTGTGTGTGTGTGTGTGTGTGTGTGTGTGTGTGTGTGTGTGCGCGCGCGTGTGTGTGTGTGTGTGTGTGTGTGTGTGTGTGTGTGTGTGTGTGTGTGTGTGTGTGTGTGTGTGTGTGTGTGTGTGTGTGTGTGTGTGTGTGCGCGCGTGTGTGTGTGTGTGTGTGTGTGTGTGTGTGTGTGTGTGTGTGTGTGTGTGTGTGTGTGTGTGTGTGTGTGTGTGTGTGTGTGTGTGTGTGTGGTGTGTGTGTGTGTGTGTGTGTGTGTGTGTGTGTGTGTGTGTGTGTGTGTGTGTGTGTGTGTGTGTGTGTGTGTGTGTGTGTGTGTGTGTGTGTGTGTGTGTGTGTGTGTGTCTGCGCGTGCGTGCGCGCGCGTGTAAGTGTATGTGTGTGTCAGTATACTAGTACATATATATATATACTAGTACATATATATACTAGTACATATATATACTAGTACATATATATACACAACCAACAGACCAATTAAACCACGAGAATAATGAACAAAAACGACAACAAGAGACACAAATATAATCGCTACGAAACAGCGGAGGAAGAAATTAAATACGTATAATTAATAATAAAAAAAATACAGGCATACTGCAGTGAATTGAACCTTAAAATTAATACTCACAAATATATGTATTATCTGGGGAATTATTCCAGAAAAACCACGAATGAGAGACATCCTGAATGAGAGACATCCTGAATGAGAGACATCCTGAATGAGAGACATCCTGAATGAGAGTCATCCTGAATGAGAGGCATCCTGAATGAGAGACATCCTGAATGAGAGACATCCTGAATGAGAGACATCCTGAATGAGAGACATCCTGAATGAGAGATATCCTGAATGAGAGACATTCTGAATGAGAGACATCCTGAATGAGAGACATCCTGAATGAGAGACATCCTGAATGAGAGACATCCTGAATGAGAGACATTCTGAATGAGAGACATCCTGAATGAGAGACATCCTGAATGAGAGACATCCTGAATGAGAGACATCCTGAATGAGAGACATCCTGAATGAGAGACATCCTGAATGAGAGACATCCTGAATGAGAGACATCCTGAATGAGAGACATCCTGAATGAGAGACATCCTGAATGAGAGACATCCTGAATGAGAGACATCCTGAATGAGAGGCATCCTGAATGAGAGACATCCTGAATGAGAGGCATCCTGAATGAGAGACATCCTGAATGAGAGAGACATCCTGAATGAGAGACATCCTGAATGAGAGACATCCTGAATGAGAGACTGAATGAGAGACATCCTGAATGAGAGTCATCTTGAATGAGAGACATCCTGAATGAGAGACATCCTGAATGAGAGACATCCTGAATGAGAGACATCCTGAATGAGAGACATCCTGAATGAGAGACATCCTGAATGAGAGACATCCTGAATGAGAGACATCCTGAATGAGAAATATTCTGAATAAGAGACATCCTGAATGAGAGACATCCTGAATGAGAGGCATCCTGAATGAGAGACATCCTGAATGA